CTCTCTCTGGTCTCTCTGGTCTCTCTCTGGTCTCTCTCTGGTCTCTCTGGTCTCTCTCTGGTCTCTCTCTGGTCACTCTCTGGTCGCTCTCTGGTCTCTCTCTGGTCTCTCTCTGGTCTCTCTCTGGTCTCTCTGTGGTCTCTCTCTGGTCTCTCTCTGGTCTCTCTCTGGTCTCTCTCTGGTCTCTCTCTGGTCTCTCTCTGGTCACTCTCTGGTCTCTCTCTGGTCTCTCTCTGGTCTCTCTCTGGTCTCTCTCTGCTCTCTCTGGTCTCTCTCTGGTCTCTCTCTCTGGTCTCTCTCTGGTCTCTCTCTGGTCTCTCTCTGGTCTCTCTCTGGTCTCTCTCTGGTCTCTCTCTGGTCTCTCTCTCTCTGGTCTTTCTCTCTGGTCTCTCTCTGGTCTCTCTCTCTGGTCTCTCTCTGGTCTCTCTCTGGTCTCTCTCTGGTCTCTCTCTCTGGTCTCTCTCTGGTCTCTCTCTGGTCTCTCTCTGGTCTCTCTCTGGTCTCTCTCTGGTCTCTCTCTGGTCTCTCTCTGGTCGCTCTCTGGTCGCTCTCTGGTCTCTCTCTGGTCTCTCTCTGGTCTCTCTCTCTCTCTCTGGTCTCTCTCTGGGCTTTGGACTCTTGAGTGATGGGCCTGTTGTAGTCCCTGTGATACTGATCTGAACCCTTTGATCAGAGAGGCCCCTGTGAGCTCTGCTGCCCCCTGCTGGTGAGAACCACAGCCTCCCCTCTGCATCAAACACAGATGAACTGGGAGAACATTGATCGCTGGTTTGGACGCTCGGTGTGAAGTCCGCTTCAGCCTCAGCGGGTCTTCATCTCGAGTCGTGAAGCAGGGAACAGCAGGGGTCTGACAAAAGTGCACACGCAGGACTTTGGTACATTACATCACAGCAACTTGGACTTTTCAATGGTCTCTATCTCTCTGGTCTCTCTCTGGTCTCTCTCTCTGGTCTCTCTCTGGTCTCTCTCTCTGGTCTCTCTCTGGTCTCTCTCTGGTCTCTCTCTCTGGTCTCTCTCTGGTCTCTCTCTGATCTCTCTCTGGTTTCTCTCTGGTCTCTCTCTGGTCTCCTCTCTGGTCTCTCTCTCTGGTCTCTCTCAAGTCTCTCTCTGGTCTCTCTGGTCTCCTCTCTGGTCTCTCTCTCTGGTCTCTCTCTGGTCTCTCTCTCTGGTCTCTCTCTGGTCTCTCTCTGGTCTCTCTCTCTGGTCTCTCTCTGGTCTCTCTCTGGTCTCTCTCTGGTTTCTCTCTGGTCTCTCTCTCTGGTCTCTCTCTCTGGTCTCTCTCTGGTCTCTCTCTGTCTCTCTCTGGTCTCTCTCTGGTCTCTCTCTGGTCTCTCTCTGGTCTCTCTCTGATCTCTCTCTGGTTTCTCTCTGGTCCCTCTCTGGTCTCTCTCTGGTCTCTCTCTGGTCTCTCTCTGGTCTCTCTCTGCTCTCCCTCTGCTCTCTCTCTGCTCTCACTCTGCTCTCTCTCTTCTCTCTCTCTGGTCTCTCTCTGGTCTCTCTCTGCTCTCTCTCTGCTCTCCCTCTGCTCTCTCTCTTCTCTCTCTCTGCTCTCTCTCTGTTCTCTCTGCTCTCTCTGCTCTCTCTCTTCTCTCTCTCTGCTCTCTCTCTGCTCTCTCTTCTCTCTCTCTGCTCTCTCTCTGCTCTCTCTCTTCTCTCTCTCTGCTCTCTCTCTGCTCTCTCTCTGCTCTCTCTCTGCTCTCTCTCTGCTCTCTCTCTTCTCTCTCTCTGCTCTCTCTCTTCTCTCTCTCTGCTCTCTCTCTTCTCTCTCTCTGCTCTCTCTCTGCTCTCTCTCTGCTCTCTCTCTTCTCTCTCTCTGCTCTCTCTCTGGTCTCTCTCTTCTCTCTCTCTGCTCTCTCTCTGGTCTCTCTCTTCTCTCTCTCTGCTCTCTCTCCGCTCTCTCTCTGCTCTAAATGTTCATGGGGGCTGTCTCTTCCTGATCCATCTGCTTCATCCCAGAAGCCTCAATTACAGCAAAGGCCACGCTTGTCGTTATGTAAGGCGGCTAATTTCCTCTGAAATGGCAGATTATTGGATGAAACACCGGATTTAAAATGCTGATTTATCGGGACCAAGGGACGGAGAGGACCAGGGCTGAAACACGAGCACCACTTACCCGCAGCCGGCCCCCGATCTGCCGACATGAAACAGATTACATCCACCGCTACGACTCTCCCCCAATTAAAAATAGAACAGAAAATGTGCAAATTGGAGGAAGAAGGCGAGTGAGAAGTGATGAAGAATTTAACACTTTAGGTTCATGTTTAAAGGAGTTATACTTGTTTCTGTAAGGTCTGAATGTTTAGCCCCGCCCCCAACTCGACACAGGCTTCTCATTTCCCCCACGCTCTCCTCCCACGGAGCATCTAGTTTTATTTGCAATCTGATACGTATGCTAACATTAGCATGCTAACATTAGCATTAGCGCAACTTCTTGTAAGCTGTACAACAATCACTGCTACAAAAGCAACGCAGCAGCAAGTAAAGTATTATTAAGTTATTATTATTATTATTATTAATTTAAACAGCAGAATATATTAGAATATGTAATTATAATTAATTATACAGCTCCTCACAGACGCAGCAGAACACTCCATTGACTTTAAAGGGGTTCTCACCCCCGCTCCTCGGAGCTTACGTCACTCACATTTCCTGTTCAAATCTTCCTCTAAATGGGCGTAGCCTGGAGGACTAAAGGGGGCGTGAACGAGACTGGGCCGTTTACATTGCTCTGGGCGGGGGGGCTGCTGACGTCAGGTCCAACTTGCAGACGTCAGGTCTTGCTGCCGCGCCAGTGTTGGCGCCAGATTCAAAATTCAAATGTAGTAATACAGGTCGCCAGCAGATGGCGCCTCACAGACGGTTTTAGGCAGAAAGTTTAACTTTCAACTAATTTGCACCAAAGTGAAAAAACTATGACCAGGATATGTAGACAACACTATTGGACACTCATTTAAATCGTTATCAGCAAAAAAAAGTGGATTTGAGGGTGAGTTGTCCTTTAATGTAACTTTAAAATATTCTAACCGATCCATTTTTTCTTAGATAACAGAACTCTCAAACCAACAATGGCCGCTGCCCTTTGGCAACGCACTGTCTGTTTGTTAATTCAGGTGTAAAATACTAACGATTACTCTGCAAATACAAGCCCTCAAATAATAGCGCCTGTCACTACTAGCCGAGACTAGCTACTGTCATAAACAACATACATATCAATTCACACATTTAAGATTTAATCGGAGAACACAGTACTTCCATACACATCCGCTAAACACACCTGCACAAACAAATGTTTGTTGTTAACATTTTCATGACAAAAATACTGTTTTATTGTGAAAAAGTGAAAAACCCGGAAGTAACCATTAACATGAGACAAACATTTTAGGAACATTTGAAGAGGATCTGATGGATTTAGTTTCAGTATATGTAAGAGATAACGAATATAATAATAATAAAATAAGTACCGACCCTAACCCTCACACACAACACAAACTTCAGTGCACTTTTAGGAATGCCAATAGGTTTATTTAAAATATGACAGAAAATAAAATAGTTCCCAAAGGCTTTCCCGTGGCTATGCTAGCAACAGTTAGGCTAGCAACAGTTAGGCTAGTAACAGTTAGGCTAGCAACAGTTAGGCTAGTAACAGTTAGGCTAGTAACAGTTAGGCTAGCAACAGTTAGGCTAGCAACAGTTAGGCTAGCAACAGTTAGGCTAGTAACAGTTAGGCTAGTAACAGTTTAGGCTAGTAACAGTTAGGCTAGCAACAGTTAGGCTAGTAACAGTTAGGCTAGCAACAGTTAGGCTAGTAACAGTTAGGCTAGTGACAGTTAGGCTAGCAACAGTTAGGCTAGTAACAGTTAGGCTAGCAACAGTTAGGCTAGTAACAGTTAGGCTAGCAACAGTTAGGCTAGTAACAGTTAGGCTAGCAACAGTTAGGCTAGTAACAGTTAGGCTAGCAACAGTTAGGCTAGTAACAGTTAGGCTAGTAACAGTTAGGCTAGCAACAGTTAGGCTAGCAACAGTTAGGCTAGTAACAGTTAGGCTAGTAACAGTTAGGCTAGCAACAGTTAGGCTAGTAACAGTTAGGCTAGTAACAGTTGGCTAGTAACAGTTAGGCTAGTAACAGTTAGGCTAGCAACAGTTAGGCTAGCAACAGTTAGGCTAGCAACAGTTAGGCTAGCAACAGTTAGGCTAGTAACAGTTAGGCTAGCAACAGTTAGGCTAGTAACAGTTAGGCTAGTAACAGTTAGGCTAGTAACAGTTAGGCTAGCAACAGTTAGGCTAGTAACAGTTTAGGCTAGTAACAGTTAGGCTAGCAACAGTTAGGCTAGCAACAGTTAGGCTAGTAACAGTTAGGCTAGCAACAGTTAGGCTAGCAACAGTTAGGCTAGTAACAGTTAGGCTAGTAACAGTTAGGCTAGCAACAGTTAGGCTAGCAACAGTTAGGCTAGTAACAGTTAGGCTAGCAACAGTTAGGCTAGTAACAGTTAGGCTAGCAACAGTTAGGCTAGTAACAGTTAGGCTAGTGACAGTTAGGCTAGCAACAGTTAGGCTAGTAACAGTTAGGCTAGTAACAGTTAGGCTAGTAACAGTTAGGCTAGCAACAGTTAGGCTAGTAACAGTTAGGCTAGTAACAGTTAGGCTAGCAACAGTTAGGCTAATATACAGTTAGGCTAGTAAACAGTTAGGCTAGTAACAGTTAGGCTAGTAACAGTTAGGCTAGTAACAGTTAGGCTAGCAACAGTTAGGCTAGTAACAGTTAGGCTAGTAACAGTTAGGCTAGTAACAGTTAGGCTAGTAACAGTTAGGCTATGTAACAGTTAGGCTAGTAACAGTTAGGCTAGTAACAGTTAGGCTAGCAACAGTTAGGCTAGCAACAGTTAGGCTAGCAACAGTTAGGCTAGCAACAGTTAGGCTAGTAACAGTTAGGCTAGCAACAGTTAGGCTAGTAACAGTTAGGCTAGTGACAGTTAGGCTAGCAACAGTTAGGCTAGTAACAGTTAGTTTCTGCGGACCCGCACGCTTAGACCCAGCAGGCTGGGCAGCAGGCGGCAGGCTGGGCAGCAGGCGGCAGGCTGGGCAGCAGGCGGCAGGCTGGGCAGCAGGCGGCAGGCTGGGCAGCAGGCGGCAGGCTGGGCAGCAGGCGGCAGGCAGGGCGGTACGAAAGTGTACAAGCTCACAATACGGGCCAACTAAAGAGTCCGGTGGGGCAGAGGACGCCACACACGCCTCCCAAAGCAGAACAATAGCAACAAACTGAACCGAGATCGAACAGTATAACTGCTGATAGAAAATACAACGCTAGTACAAACTGAAAACAGAAGACTAGACGGAAAAATGCACACACATAAAACATGGGCCAATTAAAGAGCCAGGTGTGGCAGAGGACGCCGCACAAGGCTCCTCAAACAGAGCAAGAGTAACAAACTGAACACAGAACGAACAGTATAACTGCTGATAGAACAAACAAAAACCGCTAGTACACACTGAAAACAGGAGACTAGACAAAACTGTACACACAAACACAACGTGGTCCGATGAAGGAGTTAATCAGGGCAGTGAACGCCACACACACGACTACTCACACCGGCCAAACAGAGCACAAACACAAACTGAACAGAAAGCAAACAGTATAACTGTTGATAGCAAACGTTAGCTCACTCAGAAAACAGAAAGCTTAAACTAAGAGAGCACACACACAACACGTGGACAGGACTCACCGGGGGCCACCACCCGCTGCCTCCAACCAAGTCACGGAGCTGGTGTGCAGTACGTATGTGGTAGGTCGCTCTAACGCTCAAACACACAACTCAAACCTGCGCCTGCTCAAAGATGATCATTCAGTGCTTAAAGCAGCGCCTCTGGTGGCCAGGAGAGGGAGTGCAGTGAGCTGATTACCTCCACCTGTGTGACCACACCCCAGACCAAAGACACACCCATCTCTGGTCTCTCTCTGGTCTCTCTCTGGTCTCTCTCTGGTCTCTCTCTGGTCTCTCTCTGGTCTCTCTCTGGCCTCTCTCTGGTCTCTCTCTCTGGTCTCTCTCTCTGGTCTCTCTCTGGCCTCTCTCTGGTCTCTCTCTCTGGTCTCTCTCTCTGGTCTCTCTCTGGTCTCTCTCTGGTCTCTCTCTGGTCTCTCTCTGGTCTCTCTCTGGTCTCTCTCTGGTCTCTCTCTGGTCTCTCTCTGGTCTCTCTCTTTGGTCTCTCTCTGGTCTCTCTCTGGTCTCTCTCTGGCCTCTCTCTGGTCTCTCTCTCTGGTCTCTCTCTTTGGTCTCTCTCTGGTCTCTCTCTGGCTCTCTCTGGTCTCTCTCTGGTCTCTCTCTGGTCTCTCTCTGGTCTCTCTCTGGTCTCTCTCTGGTCTCTCTCTGGTCTCTCTCTGGTCTCTCTCTGGTCTCTCTCTGGTCTCTCTCTGGTCTCTCTCTGGTCTCTCTCTGGTCTCTCTCTGGTCTCTCTCTGGTCTCTCTCTGGTCTCTCTCTGGTCTCTCTCTGGTCTCTCTCTGGCCTCTCTCTGGTCTCTCTCTGGTCTCTCTCTGGCCTCTCTCTGGTCTCTCTCTCTGGTCTCTCTCTGGCCTCTCTCTGGTCTCTCTCTGGCCTCTCTCTGGCCTCTCTCTGGTCTCTCTCTGGTCTCTCTCTGGTCTCTCTCTGGTCTCTCTCTGGTCTCTCTCTGGTCTCTCTCTGGTCTCTCTCTGGTCTCTCTCTGGTCTCTCTCTGGCCTCTCTCTGGTCTCTCTCTGGTCTCATGTTTGGACAAATCTGACCTAAATTAAAATGAATTATCAGTAATAATCTGAAATCTCTAAAACACTATAAATGTGAGATTAAACTAAACAGATTCTGAACAGATTCCTGCATAACACACGTCCCGCTCTGTGCTCGCTCCATCTGAGGCTGGACGCACCATTAGCCAAACATTATCCTGGTCTTTTATCTCCATTTGAGGCGATAGCGGCACAAACGACGTCCGCTAACGATCATTTCACTGATACTGAGGTGTGATGGATGTTACGGTCTCTCTGGGTTCAATCACATGTTCTACCTCCAAGAAATGAAGTTCAGACATGCTACATGCTAACACAGACTGTATACAGATGCTACATGCTAACACAGACTGTATACAGATGCTACATGCTAACACAGACTGTATACAGATGCTACATGCTAACACAGACTGTATACAGATGCTACATGCTAACACAGACTGTATACAGATGCTACATGCTAACACAGACTGTATACAGATGCTACATGCTAACACAGACTGTATACAGATGCTACATGCTAACACAGACTGTATACAGATGCTACATGCTAACACAGACTGTATACAGATGCTACATGCTAACACAGACTGTATACAGATGCTACATGCTAACACAGACTGTATACAGATGCTACATGCTAACACAGACTGTATACAGATGCTACATGCTAACACAGGCTGTATACAGATGCTACATGCTAACACAGACTGTATACAGATGCTACATGCTAACACAGGCTGTATACAGATGCTACATGCTAACACAGACTGTATACAGATGCTACATTCTAGCTCAAGGAAACCCTATACAGGGAAGTGCTCATGGTGAAGTTTGGCCCCTATTGACTTACATGTAAAAGTAAACTCCTAAGACTCAGTAACCATTTTGGGCTCTAAGAGAGAGACCAAAGAGAGACCAAAGAGAGACCAGAGAGAGACCAGAGAGAGACCAGAGAGAGACCAGAGAGAGACCAGAGAGAGACCAGAGAGAGACCAGAGAGAGAACAGAGAGAGACCAGGGAGAGACCAGGGAGAGACCAGAGAGAGACCAGAGAGAGACCAGAGAGAGACCAGAGAGAGACCAGAGAGAGACCAGAGAGAGACCAGAGAGAGAGCAGAGAGAGACCAGAGAGAGAGACCAGAGAGAAACCAGAGAGAGACCAGAGAGACCAGAGAGAGACCAGAGAGAGACCAGAGAGAGACCAGGGAGAGACCAGAGAGAGAGACCAGAGAGAGACCAGAGAGAGACCAGAGAGAGACCAGAGAGAGAGACCAGAGAGAGACCAGAGAGAGACCAGAGAGAGACCAGAGACCAGAGAGACCAGAGAGAGACCAGAGAGAGACGAAGTGAAAACTAGGCTGATTAAACTCTCCTCTCTCTCTCTCTCCCCCGTTGGCAGTCTGCCAGTCCTCTTCACAGATGTGCAGCTCTGAAGAGATCAACTCTAAGCAAAGATCCACAAATGAGTAAATAAAGTCAACAGAAACTTCAGTCCTCTGTGTGTGGTCTCTCTCTCTGGTCTCTCTCTCTCTGGTCTCTCTCTGGTCTCTCTCTGGTCTCTCTCTGGTCTCTCTCTGGTCTCTCTCTCTGGTCTCTCTCTGGTCTCTCTCTGGTCTCTCTGGTCTCTCTCTGGTCTCTCTCTGGTCTCTCTCTGGTCTCTCTGGTCTCTCTCTGGTCTCTCTCTCTGGTCTCTCACTGGTTTCTCTCTCTGGTCTCTCTCTGGTCTCTCTGGTCTCTCTTCTCTCTCTGGTCTCTCTCTCTGGTCTCTCTCTCTGGTCTCTCTCTGGTCTCTCTCTGGTCTCTCTCTGGTCTCTCTCTCTGGCCTCTCTCTGGTCTCTCTCTGGTCTCTCTGGTCTCTCTCTGGTCTCTCTCTCTGGTCTCTCTCTGGTCTCTCTCTGGTCTCTCTCTGGTCTCTCTCTGGTCTCTCTCTGGCCTCTCTCTGGTCTCTCTGGTCTCTCTCTGGTCTCTCTCTCTGGTCTCTCTCTGGTCTCTCTCTCTGGTCTCTCTCTGGTCTCTCTCTGGTCTCTCTCTGGTCTCTCTCTGGTCTCTCTCTGGTCTCTCTCTGGCATCTCTCTGGTCTCTCTGGTCTCTCTCTGGTCTCTCTCTCTGGTCTCTCTCTGGTCTCTCTCTGGTCTCTCTCTGGTCTCTCTCTGGTCTCTCTCTGGTCTCTCTCTGGTCTCTCTCTGGTCTCTCTCTGGCCTCTCTCTGGTCTCTCTGGTCTCTCTGGTCTCTCTCTGGTCTCTCTCTCTGGTCTCTCTCTGGTCTCTCTCTGGTCTCTCTCTGGTCATTATGATAATTCTCTCATTATAAAATCCCAGTGTTTGTTTTTGCTGCGTATAGTCCTTCATCCTCTCTCTTCCTGGTTTTCCTAGTCTTCCTGGCCTCCCTGGTCTTCCTGGTCCTCTGGGCTCTCTCTGGGCTCTCTCTGGTCTCTCTCTCCTCGGTCTCAGTGGTGTTTGTTTTTCCTCGTCCTGAGGCTCAAGCGTCTGATTGTTTTGGCTCCGAGCTGCAAACAGTGGATCTACTGCTGTGTGTGTGAGTGACCAGAGAGAGACCAGAGAGAGACCAGAGAGAGACTAGAGAGAGACCAGAGAGAGACCAGAGAGAGACCAGAGAGAGACCAGAGAGAGACTAGAGAGAGACCAGAGAGAGACCAGAGAGAGACCAGAGAGAGACCAGAGAGAGACCAGAGAGAGACCAGAGAGAGACCAGAGAGATACCAGAGAGAGGCCAGAGAGAGACCAGAGAGACCAGAGAGAGACCTGAGAGACCAGAGAGAGACCAGAGAGAGACCAGAGAGAGACCAGAGAGAGACCAGAGAGAGACCAGAGAGACCAGAGAGAGACCTGAGAGACCAGAGAGAGACCAGTGAGAGACCAGAGAGAGACCAGTGAGAGACCAAACCTTAAATCTCTGTTAATTTCCTTTGACGAGTTCAACACGACTTTACTTTTAGAAACTTTGTGTTTTGATCCGTCGCCGCGAGAGACACACGGCTGTAATTATTCGCTGATTACTCCAGAGTGAAGTCTTTAAAAGCAGAGAAAGATAAAACAGCAGGTTTCAACGTTCTTCAGTTTGAGACGAGAAGAATCAGCGTCGCTCGCCCACTCGCAGTCATCTCTTAATCCAAAATATGTCAAAACATTTACTGCAAACTTTCAGACTGAGATCAGGCTAACATGGACTTTACTGAACTTATACTATGGAAGAGAGAGAGAGAGCAGAGGGAGAGCAGAGGGAGAGAGAGAGAGAGAGAGCAGAGGGAGAGAGCAGAGAGAGAGCGGAGGGAGAGAGCAGAGAGAGAGCAGAGAGAGAGAGCAGAGAGAGAGCAGAGGGAGAAGAGAGAGAGACCAGAGAGGGAGAGAGCAGAGGGAGAGAGAGAGAGAGAGCAGAGGGAGAGCGAGAGAGACCAGAGAGGGAGAGAGCAGAGGG